GTTTGACTAGGTTTAAATAATTAAGGTAAAGGGTAAAATAGTATTTTGAAATATTATGTAAATATAATTGGAAAAAGAAATTAAGTAACAATAGAAACACACCAAATTGGTTGTTCCATAAAATAGGAGTTTCTGTTGTTACGTAACAACGAAATTTAACAATTCAGTACGATACATTTTAAGTAACAATAAAAACAAACATTGTATGTATAGTAACTGTATAATACAATACAATGAATAATAATGATCCAAACATGATGTAATAGGCCTATTAAAATTCCTCACATTCCATTTGCACAACTTTATTTTATAAAGAAGGGAAAAGGGTCAAATATGCCCCTGTACTTTTCGAAAAGGTTTAAATATGCCCCCCGTTTAAAGTTTGGTCCATTTATACCCTCGCCGTCCAATTATTGGTACAAATATGCCCTTATGGGCGTTAGTTGGCCACCTCAAAATATCCAACACATTTTACTTTTCTTTAATTACCCAAATGGATTTTTCACGTAATTTTAATATTACAGCGTGACATTTATACTACAAAAGAGAAAGGGTCAAATATGCCCCTGAAAATCCGACCCATTAAACCCTTTTATTACCCATATTTTATGGTTCAATTATATCCCTTTTATTACCCTTTTATTACCCGTATCCGATCCAAAATCCATATCCCTTTTCCCCCAATTTTATTACCCTTTTATTATCCGTATCCGACCCAAAACCCATATCCCTTTTCCCCCAATTTTATTACCCTTTTATTATCCGTATCTCACCATCTTCTTCTGAAATCAGTGGAAATGAGAGCTAAAAGAAAATACAGACGAGGCGACTAGAGCACTGTGTTAGCTCATACATTACCTACGTTACATTTAAATCTGACATAAACACGTAAAAGTACAGAGTCATGGCACAGGGCAGCACCCAGTCAAGTTTCTTCAGGGATCGTGAACGAGGGTTATTTCAACAGAGAGAGCTGGAAAGGCCACTTTCACACTCATTACAAGACCCCAAAAAAAGAAAGAACAGAAAAACATGGGAGGCAGTAAGATTTAGTAGCCGTTTTGCCATAACTGTTGTTGAGACTGCTTTGGCTGGCCTTGTGAACCAGACGATGATCCATCTCGAAGGTTTTCTTGCTGTTGTTGGTCCAACGAGATACCAGCCTAAGAGTTGTAGAAATGTGGGTAGCCCCCCAAAGATCCATAGCTCTGTGATGGCTGTTGGCCTTGCCTAAATTCACCCGTTTGCTGATTCTGTCCCTGAAAGCCATAATACGTGTTGGCGGGAACAGTTGGCATTGTTCTTGAACCATGTCCATGAAGCCACAAAGCTGAGTTCTCATTCTGAAAGAGGACGGAAACAGGAGTGTCAAATAAAGCAAAGGACATGCCAGATAAAGTCAATGACCAATTGAAATTACAGAGCATTTCAGACATGCTGCGCCAACCACCAAGGTGGACATTGATAAATGCAATTGACCAAACAAACACAGAAGCTAGAGGCGTCAAATGGGGGAAAAGGGATATGGGTTTTGGGTCGGATACGGGTAAACAAAGGGTAATAAAATTGGGGAAAAAGGGACATGAGTTTTGGGTCGGATATGGGTAATAAAAGGGTAATAAAAGGGGTATAATTGAACCATAAAATATGGGTAATAAAAGGGTTTAATGGGTCGGATTTTTAGGGGCATATTTGACCCTTTCTCTTTTGTAATATAAATGTCACGCTGTAATATTAAAATTACGTGGAAAATCCATTTGGGTAATCAAAGAAAAGTAAAATGCGTTGGATATTTTGAGGTGGCCAACTAACGCCCATAAGGGCATATTTGTACCAATAATTGGACGGCGAGGGTATAAATGGACCAAACTTTAAACGGGGGACATATTTAAACCTTTTCGAAAAGTACAGGGGCATATTTGACCATTTTCCCTATAAAGAAATAAGGAGACATGGTTGGATTTAAGCGATATGTCTTGACCAAATAATAAAATTTTATTTGTTTATGAATAAGGGAATTATTGGTTTAATATTTTGGTAATGGTTTAAGAAATTTTTATCGGATTATCAATCAATAATGATTTGAGGTTTTAACAAATTAATTGCTAATTTGATTTAAATTAATAAATTATAATTACCCACTGACATATAAAGGCCTTTGGTTAAGTTTTAATTGTGGAAAAAATGTCTGAAAAATATTTCAATTTTAACCAAAATTATTGTTACGATATCAATCTTTAATGGGAATTCATTACCTTAGACTATTTAATACCGTATTTTAAACATATATATTTATCCATACTCTCTATGTAAGTTGAGTGTGTCACACACACGTTTTAATCCATTAAATTAGTCATTTTGTTTCCTTCAATAAACATATTTCGTGCCCGAACCATCTTCCTCCTCTTCCCTTTTCGCTGCGTCCAAATAGACTAAAAACAACTATCAAACTCGCCTAAAAACGGCGACGAAACGACCTCTTCCAACGCTGCTAACAGATCATGAAATAGCCACAATCATGTTTAAAATACAATACTAAATAGTTAAGAGGGGGGTAATAAATCCTCATTAAAGTTTGGTATCGTAACAACAATTTAGGTCATTGAAATACTTTTCTCTTTAATTTTATACTTTTCTTTTCATTGTCTTAAACTTTGAGTTATGCTATAAAGTGTTAGCATTTGCTTCTTATCTAAGTGTATTTTGTCAATCCATATGCATGGTTCATTTGGTTTGTTATTTTATTTTACAAGTGATTTTTATTGAAGAAAAAATATTCATGAAAAACCTTAATTGCTAAATTGATAATTAAACCAATAATAATCCATAACTGACAAATTGATAATCCGTATCTTGACATTCTATACCAAATATAACTTTAAAATCGAACTGAATTAAGCAATACACAAACCCTATTATGGACACTTAATAACTTATTTGGATCCTGTATATAATTTGCATTTTTTTCAAGCGAGATTTGATCGAGTTTGTTATTTAATAATAAGAAGTCATGCTAATTAAGATGAGTTAAAAGTTTCCTTTTAAAGTTATTTGTATTGACGATCTTCCTAAATTTTTTATGTAATTTAATGTTCTTTTATTTTTTTTTATATTAGGATATTATAAATATTTTCTCAAATTCTCCAAATCCGTTCCATATAATTTGATGATTTCACAAATTAATTTTTTTCCTCTTCATGTTTGATTTGCTACATTGGGTTCATTTTTTAAAATATTTTTTTAATGTTGTTGATTGACCACGTGAACTATTTGTTATTTTTTTAAAAAGAAAAAGTAAGTTTCGTCTATTTGAACAATTTAAATAGTCTTAAAATTATGTTTAATTTAAGGTATATTTGATTAATAAAAAATTATAAATATATTGCGCCATTAAGGATGGTGGCACATCACACCTCAAAATTAATAATAATTTTTTTTTATATATATTTTAGTATTTAACTAACTGACTAGTTAAATATAATGGAAAATCTCACAATGAACCCAAGGGTTTAATAGAAAAGAAATTTTTCTAGAGTCTTAAACCAAACATAAATTAGGTGGAAAGTAATGAACCAAATACTTGATAAAAATCAATACATATATTATTAATTCCTGCATTACTAATCTCTTCATTACTAATCCATAATTTAGTAATCCTTGCTTCATGCATCTCGGTAACAAACAACCACATAGTGTCTTCACTCTCGTGTAATGCCATATCACTTATGATTTTGTTTATTTAATATAATTAATTACTAAAACTATATGACTAAGTTGTTGTTTATATCCTTTTCCCCGTCAATTAGATTTTATTTTACTTACTTTATAATATTATTTAATGATAAAAGTAGTATTGAATGAAAAAAAAATATTTTGATTTATTAAAATATATAAATAAAATAATAAGTTACAATAACGAAATATCCCTAAATTCAAAAATAAATTTCAAAAAGTACAAATGTTGACTGAGATATGTATACTTATTCTCTTTCTTAATAAGTAATAATAAATATCCTTAAATTTAAAATTTAATTTCGAAAAGCATACATGTTTAATGAAGATGTTCATGCTTATTGCAATAATAATAATTGAAGGTAAAGTTCACATATTACTTCCAATCAGTTAAAATTGAGTTCACTCAATGGGTAGTAAGAATTGACTGTCAATCTAATCTCACCCTAATTTGAATGCGTGACATAGACACTGTTGTCCCCTTCTAATTTTATCTTTTTGTTGTGAAAGCAAAAGTATCAATTACTTGAAGCTGAGTCCAGTTGGATAAAATAATAAAATAAAAATTTAAACGATATTTAAATTAAAAAATAAAAAGTAGTATGAGTCCTGTTTTTGATTTCTAAATTTATTTTGAATGATATCATACTCTTCAAAATTTCAAATAATTTAAAGTTATATTTAATCAATTTTTCAGTCAATGCGGACAGACTTTTAAGTTGCATTATCAAGAAAAAGATAACTCTTCCAAATGCTACCACCATTGACATTTTTATTCTTGAACTAAGCCCCACACATCACTCATATAACCTTCCTATTCGCCTTTTTTTTCTTCTTTCAATTGAATTCGATTCTATTTGTCGAAAGAAAAAACATTAATCATTGCTTACACACACAATAACAATCCAAGTTCGAATATATGGTGAAATACTCTACTCTAACAATAATAATTATGAGATAATTTAAGTTCGAACTTGTTATGCTTATTCAAATATCAAGATTAAATTTATCTTCTTTTCTACTTTTATTGTTTTATCTGTGTATAGTATTCACATTGAAATAAACAAATTCAAATTCATGTCAAATAAGAAGCTGAGAAAATTCGAATCCTATTCGGGGAGAAACAACCTAGCCTCATCCATTATCACTAGATTTTTTCATATCCAAAACTCGAAAAAGGTAGAAAAAAAAACAAAAGGAGCCTAATCCTCAACATTAATTGTGTGGGTCTAGCATTACAAATAAACAACAATGACCCAATGACACGTAGAAACCACCCAATAATTTTTACATTTTTGAGTTTTGTGCATTAGAGGAGTTTTGGGTTTAACGAGAAAAATACCCACCACTTACCGCCTGAAAAAACCTTGATGCTCTTTCTTGTCATCTTCTTCCTCTCAGCCGATCCACTTAATCTCCATGAACTTGTAATCTGATTTTTCTCCGTTTCAGAAATGGTATGTGCAGGCAGAATACTGTATTTATCTTGCTCAACGACGCCGTTTTCTCCATCCACTTCGGCGTTTCCTACTTCAACATATTTCCATGCGAATCGTAGAAATGGAATTAGATTGCGATCCATGGCCTCCGATGCTGACGCATCTTCATACGCTACTTCCTTAGATTCTGAATCCTCCGATAGAAACGCAGCCGGGTAATTTTGATGAATTATTTGTTTGAATGTTTCGGTAGTTATCATTAATTACAACAAAATGATTGTTTGGTGGATTTGGAATTGATTTGTACAGGTTTTGTATAATTGAAGGACCTGAGACAGTAGAGGACTTCGCTAAAATGGAGTTGCAGGAAATTCGAGATAATATTAGAAGTAGGAGGAACAAGATATTTTTGCATATGGAGGAGGTCTGTGTTTTTTTTTCTTCCTTCTCAAAATTCGTATTTATTACTGTGATGTCTAATTAGAGTTGTGTTTAGAATACTAATCATTAATTTTGCAGTTCTCCAGAGTATGATATAATTTGGAAAATAATAGTAATGAACCTAATGATTACTCTATATAGAAACTATAGTACATAACAAACATGTTTTTATCATAACTATTGATCACACATAATTCATATTAAGGACCGAAGAAACGAGTATAAATGAAATAATAAGAAAGAAAAAGAATGCAAGATGTTTCACTTATATGATATGAAAATACAATCTGCTTTCAATATTGCCTGTCAATAATGTTCCTGTGTTGCCTATCATGAATAGAGATGTTAGTTACCATTGTTATTTTGGTCAGACTCCTATTTGAGAATTGAAATATCTATACTTATATCCATGCTCTGAGTTTGCAGTGGGACTGGGGATTGATTGCTATAGTTGCTTAAATCAGATATTTATGCTCGTTCGGTGTCAAATTTGTTATTCCTTCTGACTTCAAACTTGAGCAGGTACGCCGACTAAGAATACAACAAAGGATAAAGAGTGCTGAGCTTGGGATAATAACGGAAGCACAAGAAAATGAGCTTCCTAATTTCCCATCGTTCATTCCTTTTTTGCCTCCTCTTGTAAGTACTCTTAGCTGTTGTAAAATGTTTATGTCAGTGGTCACTGGTCAGCAACTTATAATAACCTAACATCCCACTGAACATAAAGTAAGGAGATCCTTTCCTTTTATTTTGTTCTCCAATCTGTGTGGATTTTGATGAACTTTCTACGTCTCCTTTTGGTTGGTCGCACTGCAGGCTACACAGTATTTAGCTGAATATATGTTTTTTGCAGACATCATCAAATCTTAAGCAATATTATGCTACTTGTATATCCCTCATTGCCGGATTTATGCTTTTTGGTGGACTTCTAGCACCCAGTGTAAGTTTTTCTTTTAACATTTTTACTTTTCTTATTATTGTTATCATTTGGCCAATTGACTTAACGTGAAAGTCTGATTAGTTTCTGAGGTATTGTTAGATGCTAACAGTCAGTTCAAACTCCTATCTATGCTTTATAGAGCCTACTACTTTTACCTTCTAAAGCATGCTGATATTGCTGCAGTTGGAGCTAAAATTGGGACTAGGAGGCACATCATATGCGGATTTTATTGGAAGCATGCATCTACCAATGCAACTGAGGTATGTTTATGATATTGTATGTTTGCTTAGTGAAGAAGTATATTCACTTCTCTACCACGAACAACAATGGATTCATAACATTTAGGCTCACCAAAACGACTGTCCAAAACTATAGATATAACAATTATGTTCTCGCTGCTGGTAATCCATATAGGCCTTTTTTATTGAATTTAGGTCATTAAAATGTGGAACATAGGATGCTAAAATGACAATCTAAAGGGTCCTTATGTGTGTGCAAAACTATGTCATAGTTTTCTTCTTGGTTTAGTAGGATAAGAAAAGGCACCTACTTTGTAAGCGCAACTTCTAAATTACTCGAAGTTTTGATCATTTTTTAACAAATGTGCCACCCTTTTCACTACTACAGTTACATTACAGCGACTTTTTTCGTTTAGTAATGAGTTGTAGATAGTGCATGGAGAGAATTGTGATGTATGCAGATAATCTATCGTAGAGTTAATTTATGAAAACCTTCTTGAAAATTTTCAAATTACATGCTTGTTAGGTTTTCCCAAAAATAACCTTATAAATGGGAAAGGGGCAGTTTTTTAAATAGAAATGATCTTTTAAAAAAAAAAATCTTCAAAAACTCCAGCTATCCAAACATGTTAGCACAAATGTTTTCTTCCAAAAACTTTTCAAAAAGAACTTCTTCCGGAAAATTTTCCAAACAAATCTCACAAGGAGCACATTAGAAATGCTTATCAATTTTAGGTGTGTTATTGACTTATTATTGAGACATTCATCTTATGTCGTGAGAAGTCAGAAAGTTCTCCACGATCTCTTCCATACAACTACAAGTCGGCAATCACTTATTAATTTCATCCTTGAACTATTGATAGACTTAAAAACACTCATTAACTTGACTAACTGAACTTAAATACTTCCCGATCTTGCGAAATGAATGAAATATACCCCTATATTCTCGTCAAGTTTAGGGATGTTTTGAACACTTCTCTCGGCTTTTTATTAAGAGTCTCTTGCCCCTACAAGAGTTTGAAACCACTTGCTCTGTCATGTGGTATATTAGAAGTATATTTAAGTTTAGTTAAATAATTCGAGGACGAAACTAATAACTTGTGTCAAGTCTTGGTGTATTTTCTGAACATTTCTCAAGAAATTAGAAAAAATAAACAAAAGAAAAGAAAGATAAGTTGAAATATCAGCAGCTTCTTTTTTCCTTCAATTTTTTTTTCTACTGTATGGTGAGGGTGGAAATACATAAGATCTTAAGATCAGCAATTCTAGGAGCAAAGAAAATGCAGGACTTATATCCAGGGATTCATTTTTAGTCATATTTCTAGAGAAGAGCAGCACCAAGGGAAACCATTGTTCACAAGTTTCTATTTCTGTTGGATAGATCTGGAACGTGATGACACTTGCTAATCATTTTGGAAACTGAAAGTGATATAAAGCAAATAAAGCCATCATTTTTAAGTACTGTTAAAATTTCATTTTTTGGGTTATATATCATATACTTGAAAGATCTAAGTCTTTGATAGGTGATGCTATCTGTGTATATCTGTTTGCTACAATTGCATAGTACATGAATGAATGCACTTTGCAGTCAGGTCGATCCAATTGTGGCATCATTCTCTGGGGGTGCAGTTGGGGTGATCTCTGCTTTGATGGTTGTTGAAATTAATAATGTGAAACAGCAGGAGCATAAGAGATGCAAGTACTGTCTTGGAACAGGTGCGTAATCTGTTAATAATTCAAAATTTTAGAAGCCAAGTTACTTTGCAAATCGGTTCAAGCTATTGAAATAGTTTGACAACAAATAAGAAATTCTCCTAGCAACATCTTTTTCATGTTTTCGGTGGATTATCTCTCAAAAGTGCTTTACTTCTTCAAATAGTTCAGCCAGCACAGAAGGTCCTGCAACTTGATTTGGCATGCTTTGTTTAAATCTTTTAATTCTGGAAGGAATTTTCTTTTTTCCTTTCTGGATGGGACAAATATTTCGTAGAAATAGCATTCCAACTGACGAGCAATTGGAATGCAGGTAAATTTTATGTTAGTTGCTAAATGTATATGCAGGATATCTTGCTTGTGCTCGATGTTCCAACACTGGATCTCTTGTTCTTATTGAGCCTGTTTCAACAATTTATGGTGCGGACAAGCCTCTGTCACCACCTAAAACAGAGAGGTGTTCCAACTGTTCAGGTTCAGGAAAGGTAAGTGTATTGTTCAAATTTATTGGCTCCAAATTGTCCGCTCTGTGCATTTACAGCCGATAAATTAGACTGGATAAATCGAACATCTCTTTCCTGACCAATATGCTCAAGCGATGTGAAACAGCAGGGTAGGGGGCACTTATTCTTAACATTTGGTGGGACTGTCGAGTTAGATTAAAAATTTGACCCTGGTTAAGGTTTGGTTTCTTTTCTTATTTCATCAGTACTCATGTTTCTGTGTCTTTAAAAATGGAACAAAAGGGATTAGGGTTGTGAGGAGAAAATTCAACCAAAGGAATAAAGAGCGGAGAGGAGTTGTACTGATTGACCTCTACATTTGCCACTTAAAACCAGAGCTACTCATGGCTGGCCCTAGGTGGACAATAGAAACATATTCCAAGTATATAATAGTGATTTGAAGGTTCCTTTTATTAGTTTTAATAATAAGAACTTTGTCAGTATTTGCATCACCACGTAGCATTCTGCATTTTTGTTGAATGTATCATTCTCCACTCTAGTTTATACATTCATTGACGATAAGTTAAGTTGAGCTTCTATCTTTGGCAGGTCATGTGCCCTACGTGTCTTTGTACTGGGATGGCTATGGCAAGTGAACACGATCCACGAATTGATCCATTTGATTAAATAGTATAGAATATAGATTTCCTTTACTGGAATTCTTAATATTGAATGTGTAAAGTTTAGATGAAAGCATCGCCCCTGAATGAACACAGCCTATTTTATAAGAGAGTTTAAATTAGTATGAGAAAATCTTGGTCTTTATTATAATGTTCTACTACTATACACATGATTTGCTTTATTATGCAAGTCCTACACGAAATCTGGAATTTGTAAATTTATATATACAATATCTTCAAGAATATAACAAACTATCAGGAATAAAGCAAAAGCAAAACAATGAAACTATGAAAGTGAAATAAAAGCTTCACATATATAAATATGCGGAGAAATTTGTGAGGCCATGCTTCGCGGAGGCAACTTTATCCCTACTCAGTCTTTGGGAAACATAACCTCTTACACACAATGTACAATGTGAAACAGCAGCGTCTATACCATGTACGAGAAATTACTAATAGTTTGACATCGAAACCTGTAAGAGAGAATCGACTTCATAATACCCACCTATGTTTTCCCTGTCAACCTGTGTAGACACTGACGATGGTGCTACCAGCACTGACACTGCCAGATTCTCTTGGGAATTGAGCAATTTTCGTATCAAAGTCTCAATATCATGCTACAAGGATTTATATTCTTCAATCAACCGTGATGCATGGAGACGGGATGAAGGAACCGTAGTGCATCCTAGACTCTGAAGATATGCAATCTGCCACAAGGAAACAAAGTAACTGAATAAGATACCCTGAGACCCAAGACCCTGACCTTACTTCAAGCCTTACAGACGCGTTGTACTGATTATTGTTTATATTTGCAACCATTATAAAATCTGTAGCAGCAAATCATATGCATCATTATAATGTTCTCCAAATATTTAATCCTAAGATTCACCAAAGTAAGTGAAAGGAACACCACTAAGGAAAATCTAGACCCCTCAAGCCTTACGTAGTATAAACCACCAAAGCGTACAAAGGGATGGTAGGTATGAAGAAGACATAAGAGGATAGGACATGTCTTGGACTGTCCGCATCTGCTCACTAAGTTTGAAGAGAGAGCACACAAAGTTGATTACAGGTTTCTAGATTACATACATAAGTTTATATTTTTGAAAATGCATTATAGTTGGCTAAACTAACTATTCTGCCATTTTCCCTGTAAGGCAAAGAGTACAAAATAAAAGAAAATGATGGAATTACAAAGTTTACATACCTGTTTGGGAGTTGGTTCTGATGTACCCATCGAACTTTCAATCCGTAGTTTTTGGAAGTACTCCTACAAGGGAAAACGTGTGATTAACAAGTAAAGAATAATAATCTTTTTGGGGAAACAGCACGAAACGCACACTAAACTTGTGTACAGAGAATAGGGAAAGGGGTGGATTGTCGATAACGTCATCCATCCGCATTGGGCTTATGAAATCTGTAAACCCCTGTGATTATTAATAATAAACTTAATGACGTTACTAAAGATATCCAAGTTGTGTGTGGACCATATGAGGGCGGTGAACTAATTGGTACAAGTTGGAATGTGTTTGAAATGGATATAGTACCCAAATGTTGAAGGGAAATGGAAAAGAACCACGGCAACTCCCAGGCTGCCTCACGCCAGCTATGCAATCACGAGGAGGCTGAGAGAGACCAGGACGCCTCACCGAAGGCCTTGCGCCGCAAGAGTGCTAGTGAGGGAGGCCACAGAAAAATGGCTGAGGCAGAATAATTTTGGTAACAGGCGTATGATGTCTCTTGAGCCGTGATCTCCCTTTCCAAATTTCTGGGCTATAATAAGCTGAGTACGGGGAGAGAGAGTAATCCTGAGATATTGAGTTAGGGATTGTCTCAAGAAGAGGGATCCAAATCAAGGGGGATTTTCTACCACTTTAAAGTGAGTATCCAAGGATGTTCTTATGATAATTCCGCTCCCTAACCACACACATTTACACCATTATACCTTGGAAATTACTAGAATCTCCTCAAATCTTCAAAGTCGTTAAGAACACCCACACATTGGATTTTCCAGATTAAGGTGTGTTTGCTATGGAGGAAATTGTTTTCCAATTTCCATGTTTGGTTGGGTCAAAATGTTTTGGAAAACATCCTCAAATTATACAAATGATCAAATATTAAAAATATAAGGTGGTCAAGCATATAAGACATTCCCTCCGTCACATTTTATGTGACACTATCTGACTTGGCATGGTGTTAAAGAAAAAGAAGTTTGAAACTTGTGGCCTAAAACAATCCTTAGATATTTGTGTAGCTGTAAATATTTTATTAAGGGTAAAAGGAGAATTTTAAGTTTAAATTGTTTCTAATTATAGTAAGTTGACATTCTTTCTGTGATGGACTAAAAAGGAATGGATACCACATAAAATGGGACGGAGGGAGCAATAATATCTATTGTTTTTCAGAGCAATTCTCGAACTTAACTACTTTTTTTCATATGCTTGGCAAGCACCATAATAGCAGAATGATGACAATTTATGAATTAATGTGCAAACATGGTCACCAAGATTTTATACCCTCTGGCATGATCTTTCACTTGTTCATGTATGTGATAAAAATTGCATGAGAACCAAAGGAAATTGAGTTTAAGCTGATACCTGTTTCTCTCTCATTAAGTAAGCACGCTTTTCAGCAGGAATTTTCTCCCAGTTCAACACCTAACCACACAAGAAATATTTGATGGAGATGCTAACATACACTTTAGAATATATCTATACTTGATGTACTTAAGAAACTGCGGATAGAGATGCTAACTTACAGATTCAGCATACTGTAAAGCTTCCTCACAAGTTAATGATGACTTTAAGGCACGTAAAACATCCTGATAAATCAACAAAAACATTGTGAGTATTATTAAACACAGGAAAATAAATTTCAGAAAGACTAAGAGGTAAAAAACTTGATCATAAAAATTCTTTTTAACAAGTAACACTGCACCCGGTCACAAAAAATAGGCATACTTCACTTCCTGAATGCCTATCCGATTCATTACTTTTTATTGGGCTCCCTGTCCTAAATTGTCCACACTCCAGATGTCCCTGGGCGTGCAGGGGAGTATTGAGTATCTCACATGGTGGGATAGGGTCATTTGGTCTGCTTATATGGTCTTTGGGCAAACCTTCCCTCATGAGCTAGCTTTTGGGGTAGAGTTAAGTCCAAGGTCCGTTTCTTTATCACCCTTAAGGTGGAAAATACTAAACAGACAGCTGTTTTGTCGTATGGTGGCAAATATTTTTTTTCATATTATTATTGATTGTTCCGAAAATAGAGATTCAACAAGAGGAAGAATTTGTTAAAAAATGACCAGTTTTTCATTATCCTTCCAATAGGCCAGTAGTCACGCCCCCCACCCCAGAGATGAGAGACTAGCAGATAGCAGAGGATGAAGGCACAAGGTGGATACTGAGGTGGAAAGCGGGGAAGAATTTGGTGGAGATGAGGTGCAACTGGTGGGATTCCTAAAATGAGAAATAGACCATGAGTTTTGGTTATCTTATTCTATTTTGCATTTAGGTCATCTTCGTGTTGGCACCAAATATCAGCTTTGACTTTTGAGCAAGGGCATGTGCTGCCCAAAAATAAAATAAGAATATCAGGGAATGAATTACCGGAATTTTTGGAGTCATGTTATTAATTTATCTGAAGAAATGCAGTCAAAATTGTTTGATGAAATGGGGGAAAAAATAGGGCTTAGACCTTGTGAGTGCTCTTCTTGACTCTAAGGCGCTCATCAATGACAAACTCTACCTGAAGATGCCAAAAGACAGATACGTCAAGATCCAACCTTGTGTTACGGTACTGAAATAAACTGTTCTCAGAACTTCAATGTGGTGATTCTCGCCACTCCCCAACATCCATTAGCGGGCCGTTACCTGTATTGACTTATACATTGGAATATTGGATGCATGAAGTTAAATGTTAATATTGCTCCTCTTGACTAAGAAATATTCCCAACCATAAAGAAAATAAAAGAAATGAATAGCTTTGACCTTTTTAAGCAACCTCCGTGGTTCCTGAAATGCAGGCTTTTTGGCCCAGTGATGGAACAAATGAGATACCACTGTTCGGTCTTCCGCATTAAATCTGGGTAGATCAGTTCAAAAATTCAATCAAAGTTAGGCTCCAAATAATAAACAGGAGTATTCTTATATCTCTCTAATTTACCAGTAATAGGACAAAATAATTCCATGTTATCTTCTTTTGTTTAATAATGGTGAGGTCCCGACCAGCTTGTACGCCCTATGACTAACATGTGCTAGCTCCCACCCACACATGTACTAGGTAAAACACTGTCTGCCTAGGCTTAGGCAGATAGGAAGAAATCACCAAGTGTTTTTTGCCTCCACTGAGATTTGTAAGTCATGTTATCTAACAGACTCATGTCACCTTTTACATAATAAGCCAGTGAAAATATTTCAGGCTCTACTTGTTACAAACAAAAAGAAGATATTGTTGGCTTCATTTTACTAATCAAGAAATACAACCAAAGTTATAATGGGCCGATTCTTCACGAGTAAGCCTCGAACACTCGTTATTTAAATAAACAAACTGAGTTTGAGCAATATGGTTGCTAACATGTCAGCCAACTGGGGTGAAAGACAGGGAAAAACATGTTTTTCAGTCAAGCTATTTCTTTGCCTTGTCAACTTAGAGCACTTTTGAAGAATGTCCAAACGAGTCTTCCATGTCTTAGGATTAGACATGCTAAGGGTAGATATGTTTGGTTCTCCACCCAACACCCACCATTACAGTGGTTTTTGACGGGAAAAAATGTTTGAGCCCACAGTCAAAGCTCATACAACAAGACTCGAGCTTTCGAAAGATTGACTTGACTTGTTTACTGTTCACAAAAGCTAAGGTAACTTGGATTTTTATATATCAATTTTTCCTTGATAAGAAATTCCCATTTGTCATGTATTTGACATGTAACGCTAGTCTTGTTTCCGTTCAAAATTTTCTTTATTGGCTCATTCAGACAACATGGACAATAAAAGCAAACTCTACATCAACCCAACTACACAACGGGCTGGAGTTCGAGCCAATAGAAACTGGCAGAGTGAAGTTGCCCGTTAAAGGGTAAGTTCAATTCAGCTCATTTACAGCTCAAGTAAGACGATCAATTTGGGACAGGGA